TTTTGAAATACTCCCTGTGTATCAAAAACGAAGAGGTCTATGAAAATTTGGTTTACGGCATTGTAAGTTTCACAAAAAAGTAGCTCAGGTTCGCGAAAACCGCAACTTTCTATCTTTCATGATAACTGAGATACCCTGCAAACCCATCGAAATTTGGACACCCTGTACATAGCAGTGCTTATCAGAACACAATCCAGAAGAGTATCAAAATTTTGCTTTGTCATTCGTAGATGATTTTTATAGCTTGCAGAATCTTCTGCTGCGAGTTCTCGTAGAAGTTTTGCAGAAGCACCCAAAGTAGGTCGACGACTAATCCATGGTTTAACATAGATACCACCTTTTCGTCGTTTCTTTTTCTGCATTTCTTTTATCTTTTTTTGCACTAAAAGTTTAGCGACTATTTTGCATGCTTCGGAAAGTTCACTCGATATATTGCGCACTGTGCAATACACTTTAAAAATGAAACTGGCGTATCACTTATTTTTCTTTTCACACATGTAGTGTAAACTTTTACTGGCGTGCAAATAGAACTGGCGCCACTAAATCCATACATGTCTAAACTCACCTTAAGTTAATATTATATCCCCGTTAACTAAGTTAATAAATTTATGTGTTCGGGAGGGCATGTATCCGGCAGCTCTTAAGACAGGTTTAGTCGTTCCCGTGTATAAAAAGGGAAATCCTGAAAATATTGAAAACTACAGACCAATTTCACTGTTACCTATTATATCTAAGATCTTTGAAAATGTATTGAAAATCCAAATAACTAGGTATTTTGAAGAAAATAAGTTATTCACTCCAACCCAATTTGGATTTAGACTAGGAAAAAGTACTACACACGCTATAATTGATTTTGTTGAAAATGTGTTAACATGTTTTGAGGATGGAGAGTACTTGACAGCTATTTTTTGCGACCTAAGTAAGGCTTTCGATGGGGTCATACACGATTTTTTTTTTATTATATTTTCTGAAAGTTTGTATAAAAATATAGTTACCGTTATTTTTTTTTTGAATATTTTCGAACAAAATCATTGTTAAAAAAAATTGTTGAAAATTTATATACCCATTTGCGCAGTTGTTGCAAGTTGTTGACCATGTTGTTCATGAAATTCAAAACGTTTACGCTTTTGTGATACATATTTGAGAAGTTAATCATGTAAATTTGACATCATTTTTGTCAAATTCTAATAAAATATTGTTCCATAATTTTAACAAAATACCAAATTAAATTAATTCCAGTTTTAGTTGTTAGAGGAATGTGTTGTACCATTGATTATATTACTCTAGATTGCTAACCATATGTATAAAATCGGCAACTGTGTATGTTGGGTTGCATCACGCACTGTTTATTCTCAAAAAGAGAATAAATGTAGATGAGTATATATATGTTACCGTCAATCTGTATAATTCAGGTGCTCTATAGAATGCCTAGGTAATGTATAAAATACCTGGGGTGTCTAGACAATGTATGAAATATTATGAAGATTATTGTCCCTTAGATACTTTACCTAGGTAATGTATATAATTCTTAGGGATTACATAGAGTACCTGTTGGTCGACCGGCAATGTGTAAAATAAATAGATTTTGGTCTGTATTTATCAATTTTTACCCATAATAAACTTTTTTACAATCTATAAGTTATTGTACAAAATCAAGTAATAAGTATTAAAAACTTAGGAAACGAAATAATTCTGTAAAAACAAGACAGATATTATTCTTACATGAGGAACTATTGTGACATTTTGAAGTGCATAAAATCTTACTTTTACGATATGAACACTTTTTAGTATCACAGTGTTTTTTGCAAGTACATTTAATAAATTCCTGACATGTCCCCGTAGATTACAGATTCGCAACTGTATGGAGCGTCGTTTCTTGATTAGGGAGATCTTATTTTTTCAGTAGTTCTTGACGGCAAACTGTAAGCTGCTGTCTTAAATACAAATTCTTTACAACACCTTGCTTTGTTCCTATTTTATAAAGTTCGTCATTTTTTGTAAGACTACAGCTAGTATATTGCGAGCATCACCACAACCTCTGTCGACTTCCGGAACACGGATTTTTACAGTGGTACCCAATGTCATATGGGGAAATTTTTTTCCAGAAGTGTTAAGCATTTTCTGAACTTGCTCTGTTAAATTATCATTGGAACTACAGCTAAAGGGTTTTTTAAGCGTAATGGGCAAACAACTTTAGTCTTCTGCCATATCTTTCTCCTTCACTGTTCTCGCGTTTTACACACATTGTCGGCTTCGCATTCGGTATTTTATAGAATACCTAGGCAAAGTATAAAATTAGTAATATTTCATATATTACCTAAACGTTTTAGGTATTCTATAAGTTGCCTAGGTATTGTATAGAATACCGGATTATGCAGATTGCCGGTAACATATATAATGTATAGCAAAGGACCAAGCACTGAACCCTGCGGAACACCCACATGTTCCACGCTTTCACCGGATCTTTCCTTGTTCCACTCAGTATATTGTGTACGATTTGTTAGATAGGATTCCATTATTTTATTAGCAACGCCNCACGCATGTCTCTTGAGTAGACGGGGGCACGACAGAGACAGATATATATATATCTGCACTCTAGTGTTTACACTCTTTTGCTGCCTTAGTCAGCGATATAGGAGATAGTATATATATGCCCACACCCAGAAATTCAGAATGTTTACGCTTTTGTAATACATATTTGAGAAGTTAATCATGTAAATTTGACACCAAAGATATATCTGTTTCAGTCGCTTATAATGCTTGGCTCCTTTTTGTCATATTCTAATAAAATATTGTTCCATAATTTTAACAAAATACCAAATTAAATTAATTCCATTTTTAGTTGTTAGAGGAATGTGTTGTACCATGATTATATTACTCCAGATTGCTAACCATATGTATAAAATCGGCAACTGTGTATGTTGGGTTGCATCACGCACTGTTTATTCTTAAAAAGAGAATAAATGTAGATGAGTATCTATATGTTACCGTCAATCTGTATAATTCAGGTGCTCTATACAATGCCTAGGTAATGTATAAAATACCTGGGGTGTCTAGGCAATGTATGAAATATTATGAAGATTATTGTCCCTTAGATACTTTACCTAGGTAATGTATATAATTTTTAGGGATTACATACAGTATCTGTTGGTCTACCGGCAATGTGTAAAATAAATAGATTTTGGTCTGAATTTATCAATTTTTTCTTCTTTCAACTTTCTTGATTAGGGAAATCTTATTTTTTCAGTAGTTCTTGACGACAAACTGTAAACTGCTGTCTTAAATACAAATTCTTTACAACACCTTGCTTTGTTCCTATTTTATAAAGTTCGTCATTTTTTGTAACACTACAGCTAGTATATTGCGAGAATCACCACAACCTCTGTCGACTTCCGGAACACGGATTTTTACAGTGGTACCCAATGTCATATGGGGAATTTTTTTTTCAGAAGTGTTAAGCATTTTCTGAACTTGCTCTGTTAAATTATCATTGGAACTACAGCTAAAGCGTTTTTTAAGCGTAATGGGCAAACAACTTTAGAACCATAGTCTTCTGCCATATCTTTCTCCTTCCCTGTTCTTGCCTTTTACACACATTGCCGGCTTCGCATTAGGTATTTTATAGAATACCTAGGCAAAGTATAAAATTAATAATATTTCATATATTACCTAAACGTTTTAGGTATTCTATAAGTTGCCTAGGTATTGTATAGAATACCGGATTATGCAGATTGCCGCTAATATATATAATGTATAGCAAAGGACCAAGCACTGAACCCTGCGGAACACCCACATGTTCCACGCTTTCACCGGATCTTTCCTTGTTCCACTCAGTATATTGTGTACGATTTGTTAGATAGGATTCCATTATTTTATTAGCAACGCCTCTTATGGCATAAAAGTTGCCATAAGTGCAAGAACTGGAACAGGTCTATAATTTTTCGAATCGTTTCGATCACCGATTATAGTTGGGAGCAATTCTAACTTTTTTCAATGGGTCAGGAAAACCAGCTATATATGGTATAACTATTTTCCAGGTGTTGCTTTATTTTTCATTTTACGAACTATCTACATTACTTCTTTTATAGTTGTAGGTTGAAGAAATAATGAATGTCGTGTAGTGCTGATGTATGCTCACGGATGCTGGTAAAGAAGTCGTTCAACTTTTCTACCGTGATATTACCATTTTTCTAATGGTAGGTACTTGTCACATTTTATTATCCATTTATTATTGTTAGTAATAATGTAGATAAATAAAATTACGTGTAGTTACTAATTGGTCCAAGGTTGTTCCAAAGTACAGTCCTGTATTGTACCTTGAATCAATTCACATTCTTGCTTTCAAAGAATTTTTTTACCCATAAAATGAAGTACTTCGCGATGAATTTTATCACTTAAAGCATTGCAGAATCAATTTAAACCAAGACATTTGATTAATAACTAATAAATTTTGAAATATTAGCTTTAGAAACAAAATGGTCCAAATTACAACACCTTCCCCTATTCAGTGCCAAGTTGTTGTTTATTTTGAACGCTTGTTCGGTCTAGTTTTAATTGAATAAAAAACATTAATAATAATAAAAGTAGTAAAATCGGGCATATCTGAGCTTATGATATAAAAGGGTTAAGTTATATGGATTTAATGCAAAAAAGTAAATAATAAAATTCTAATAAAAATTAAATTTTATAATTTTAACTAGCGCCATCTGTTGCCCGGTGATCGTTTCTATTGACAATTGCGGATTGAGAGTTCGCCGCGTGTGATTGTGTAAGCGCGAGCGACATCTTTCAAGGCGTGGAGGAATTAATTATATTTAGTCGAAATACAACTGTATACAATAAAATACAATTATTTTGTCTAATTCAATTATTTTTTATTAATTATATTAAAATTTAAATTGTACCAATTTAATATAACCCTTTTTATATTAAAAATCAATGTTATTTAAAATTGTTATCACCACTGCCCCCTTTCAATACAAAATATACAGTTGGCAGTAATGGACGTAAATGAACCGTCTTACATCACGCGTCAGTTTTCGATAAAGAAAATTGATTGATTCATGGATATTTTAAATAACATCACCGCAAAACCCACCACGAAGGTAACGTATAAACATGCGGTTATTTACGCAACTGCCTCATTATTAGAACAATGACCGCATTGAAACGTGGGGCCCTGCCGTTTATTGATCGCGCGAACGACATACAACGCACCACGCAATATATTTTTAACTTTCAACTGTATTTTTGTTTATTCAGCACGTTATCGTATTTCAAGATATGCATATTCTTCAGTTTATGCTTTATAAGTTTCCCATACACTCCCTCCCTTTTTATCCTAACAGTTATTATAGTTAAACAATCCCTACTATTGTTTTATTTATTTTAACGCTTACAGAAAAAGTTTATTTTTTATTCTTGCTAGAACTTTGCTTGTGGAACAGTCGTTAATTAATGATTGTGAAGTAATTTGTTGTGGGGTTTTTGTGTAGAATGACAGCTGAGGTTATGGCCAATGGAACTAAAGAGAAATGGGATCCAGGTGAGGTTCAATTCTTGAGTGTAGGTTTTATTTAAAAGCTTATTTAGTATCTTATTTTTCCTTATTTGTTAAGTTTGTAACTCAATTTTTTGCTGTATTTTATAAGAGTGTTCTTTTTAATAAATTGGTTTATTTAGATTGTTTTCGATTTCTTTTATTTTTATGCATGTCCTTGCTGTTATTATACAGGATCGCTGATATGTATGGAAACAGTCGGTTAAGATACAAACGTTGTATGTTAAAATCTATTAGATGACTTCCTTTTGACTAACCCTGTATACGGTATACAGGCTCAGTCAAAAAGTTATGACGAAACAAAGTTACGTTTTCTTTAATCATTTCTCACTCCGTATATATTGCATATCTCAATTCATCTAGATGTTCATATAGCACATCATAAACCTACACTTAACTCTGTTGCTAAGAAAGTAAGAGATGAATTGAAATATGGAATAATATACAGGTATTCTATTAAAGAAAACGTAACGTTATTTCGTCACAACTTTTTGAGTAACCTTGTAAGTATACAGGGTGAGTCAAAAAAGAAGTCATGTAATAGATTTAAAAAAACACTATAACTTTTGTCTCATAACATTTTTCGGTAGCTATCTTACTTCAGTAAGATAACTTCAATTGAACCTAACATTTAAAGCATTTCAAATTAAATAAAAATCCTAATTGTGTATTAGGTTGCCTATTATAGGCGGTTTATAATAATCTTTAAACTTATCTTTAGCTTTATCAAGATTATTAACATCTTTACAACAAGCTAACGAACTGCCCTCAACGGATGAAGAATTAGGTTTTCTGAGCGATCTTCTACAATCAAAAGAACTCCATGCCCTCGTAAACGTTCACAATAAGATAATTACTAATGGAGCTAGCGATAAGTTCTTCCCGATCCTATCGACATCGATGAATGTTATGTATGATGTCCTCCAAGTAATTGCCTCGAGGACGAGTCTGTCGGAGGATTGTAAAGAGTTATTTTATCTTTTCCAAAAACCACATGTTCAAGTAATTTTGATCAAAATGACTCGAAAAAAATGTAATGCGATATTTTCAGGGCTTGTTATATGCTCACGATGCTGTTGCCCAAAAAGATTATTACCCACATTTACCCGAGATTCCTTTAGAAGTAGATGAGGATGAAGAAACAGTTAAAATAGTTCAATTAGTGAAGAGTAATGAACCTTTGGTAAGAATCACTTTTTAATATAAATATTTTTATCACGATCATAAAACAACTCTAAATTTATTAATTAATCGAAAAGGTTTTGTGAAAAACAGTAAAACCCTTTTATGCAATAAAAAAATGAGACTACTTCAGCTTTCTTTAGTACATGTATTATTTTTAATGCTTGCTCTCAAAGTCGGGCGCTCAGAGTGCCGAACCAATCGTTGTAAGTATTCACAAAAGAACAAAAAAAGTAATAATTTATAAAAACAAATTAAAAAAAAAGAAACACGTGTAGATATTGTGTTGACTTTGTTGTTTTCTTTCTTCTAAAAATCTATTCTTCTAAATTAAATCAATGCACAATCTTCTTGTACATTCCACCCACTAATCTTTCATATTTAACTATTAACCCCCAACTTGTTTAAATTTAAAAAAGAAATATATTTTAATTGAGATAGATTAAACAAAAAATATTAAAAATGTGGTTATTGGAAACAGGGAGCGACGATAAAAACCGATGAGAAAACTGCGAAAATCGTTATAGCTCGGGTAATGCATGGAGGTGCTGCTGATAGATCTGGATTAATTCACGTTGGTGATGAAGTAGTTGAAGTTAATGGAATTAATGTTGAAGGAAAAACACCAGGAGATGTTTTAACAATTTTAGTAATTTTACTTTTTAATTTTTATTATATAAAACTTTATAAAATAATTTTTAGCAAAATTCTGAAGGTACAATCACGTTTAAGTTAGTCCCAGCTAATGGAAAATCATCAGCAAGAGAAAGTAAAGTAAGAGTGAGAGCTCATTTCGATTATTATTCATCGTCAGATCCATATATTCCATGTAAAGAAGCTGGGTTAGATTTTGTAAAGGGAGATGTTTTACATATTGTATCACAAGATGATGGTTACTGGTAAGATCTTAAATTGTTTTAATTTTATATTATACAGTCCGCGTCAAAAGTAACCCTCCCTGTTGGGGAAAAAAAATGGTTGGAAAAATCGTCCTGATTTTTATTTGCCCGAATAGTTTAGTGTAAAATATTTGATTTCTTTCCCAAAAAAATCATCTTTTCCCATAAAACTCATTTTCACCATGGAGGTTAAGTGGACAAGGTAAATGCCCAAAGAATCCACACGTAGTACTTGAGAAGCCAACACATCGAGTGAGTGTATGGTGTGCAATATGGTCCAAAGGCATCACAGGGTCATTTTCTAACCAGACATTTTGCGCCCTATCTTTGAATCATCCAGAGATGATTGAAACTTGGTGAAATAGAAGCCCAAGCAATTAAAATTGCGCTGAAAAAATTGGTCTACAAATCGTCGTTAGCTATTCAGTGGCATAACACAATTCATCCATTGAATATTTATCTTGTAACTGCTTTACTTACGTTTAGAGCGTTTAAATGCTCAATTTGGCGTTTCCAGTACTAATCGAAATTTAATTTTTATTATTTAATATTTCATTATTTTGAATTAGAATACACTCCTCAAAATACTCGTGCAGGACTTCAACTACTTGATTAGTCCGATGAGATTGTGTGCCATCCTGCATTATCTTCGTTCACTTGTAGTAACATTTATTTGGAGTCTGCAGTCGTCAAATCTGCATCTGCTCTTTTTGAACAACATTGCTGTGCTAATGTTAATTTCACAAAGACTCCCGGTTGATTTCAACCTGTCATAAAACTCATCTGCATGTTGTCCATGAGCTATTTGAAACGTATTTCGTATTTCCGCCATATTTTCAGACATTTGCTCGACGACCAACATTGTCAACAGACAAACACTACCCCCACAATCAAATATTGGTTAATCAGTTTTTATTATATTAATATAAATTTGGGAAAATGCGAAAAATAAAAGATACGCGACAAGGTAAATAACGAGCGGTATGATAACCTGACTATCACACCGTTAGGTAGGTATATACTTATCTATTATCCTGATAACTGTTAGATTTACTTCAGGGATACACCACTGCCTACGCGAGCTTTGGTTTATCACCCAATATCTTACGGAGGAAATCCAAACCTTTTTCCTTCCAATATCGCTTACCTTTTTCTAGCCTGTAAGACCAGCGTGTAAGAATACGGCTGAATACTCCACAAATGGTGAATTTGAAAACAAAGGATATGGTCCTTAGGTGAGCAAATGCTACCCCTCTACAAAGAGCTACCTCATCGGATCTGGGGGAGGCAAAAATTCGCTACTTAGGCCACAACACATCTTATACCGTGATTTTCACTTAAGATGCAATATAAGCATGTATTTCCATAGAAATCAGAACGTACCTACTTACTTTGTACCATGAAATACAACATATCAATATAATTTGACATTAGTAGTATTTTGATAGATCATACATAAGTTTAATATTAACATTAAAGCATGTACACAAAGGAAAAGAAAACTTAGCTAATGATGAGCTCATGACGTGCTTCACGATACCTACCCAGAAATTTATTTGTTTTTATATACAGGCTGATTCTCAACCTATACGCATAAACTTGGGGATTTATTCCTCATGACAAATAATGACTAATAGATGAAAAGAATTTAAGTAAAAGTTTTTTAGTTTCCTAATAATGTGTTTGGAAGATTGTCCTGGAAGATGGATAATTCGAGATGGTCCAATGGCTTGGCCACCGTGATCACCCGGCCACAATCCTCTTGATTTGTACTTTTCGAGTCACTTAAAAAGCATAGTGTACGCCACGGAAGTTAATACTGAGCAAATATTGCAAAATCAGATACATGCTGCTGCCCAGACAATCCGCCAATACCCTGGTTTAGGCTACGTTAGTAGGAGATCGTGGATTCGGGAAGCCCAATTGATAGAAAATATAGGAAATATCTTCGAACACTTGCTGTGATGTTATTTTAAAATGTTCTATGTATTTTTAATTTGTAAGTAAATATCACGGATATCTATGGCACAGAAAATCTTTTACTACAATTTTTTTCGCCGTGAGGAGTAAATCCCCAAGTTTATGCGTATAGGTTGAGAATTACCCTGTATAAATTTATTCATTCTCTTCAGTTTATTGTTTAACTATTTTTTTCGTAGAATCACGGAACGGAGATATTCCAGAAATTATGATTTCAGGCGCTATCTTTCCAAGATTTCGAATTTCATCTTTTTCAACTTTTTGTCGACAAAACTATCCACATGCCACATACTGACGGAAAAAATATAAATCAACCGGTAAAAATCAATCGCCACAAGATCACGTACCGATTCATGATCATCATCCAGCCTCTAAAGTACACTGCTGGACGTAGACCTCCCTTATTTGCTTCCATTACTCCCTATCTTGTGCAATTTGCATCCAGTTATTGTGCATACGCCTTAAATCGTTATAGTATATGGTTGGAGAACGGCCTCTGTTCCTAAAAGTATCTTATGTTGGTCTGGATCGTTTACCCTCGCAGTGTGTACAGCTCAGTTCCACTTCAAAATAATCATTCTTTCTATGGTATTCGTGATTTTTGTTCTGTCTAGTATTCCGGTATTCGGTTCTTGATCTCTCAGAGATAGGCCCAATATTGATGTAATTTCCAACTCTCTTTGTACGGTTTTGTTAGCTGTTTTCTTGGTGAATGTCTGCACCATACGTCAAAACACTGTGTACACATTGATTAAAGATTTTTCTCTTCAAACACATCGGAACGCATTTGAAAACGAATTTAAATCGTCCATAGGTGGTCATTCTTAGACGGCCCCTGGCGACGCAATTGCACAGTATATGTTCAGCTGTTTCTGACTCGTCGTTGCAAAGTTGACAAGTTTGTTCCTCAGCTTGTACAATGTGAAAGAGGTGGTATTGGGGTTATGGCCTATCATGTGCCTCAGATTTTATCTGTTTGCACATGTACGTATAATGGAGGAAATTTGTTTTTTGGAAAAATGGTGTCGCCTTAACTAACACCTTTCTGTGTTGCAGTCGTTACCATATTCATAAAGAGTAACACAAACTGTAGCGTTCTCATATACAGGTTGGTCCATTTAACTTGAGACAAGCGATTATCTCGAGAACGGTTCATTTTACATAAAAATGAACCAAATGAAAGTTGTTCTGTGCGAAGGGGAAAACTATATGACGATAAAATTTTTTAACCTTGACCTTATTTTCAAGGTTATATGAAGGTCATGACCAATTTTTTTAAATGGCACCCTATATATTTTATTGGAAAGTAATTAAAAAAAAAATAAACAAATTTTACTGTGTGGTTTTGCCAGTACAACGGCAAAACATCTTTTGAAAAAAATTGACACTTCTTCAGAAACAACTAACATTTATAATCTAGCAAGAACAAATAAGATTTATGAATCTTTAAACATTTTCCTACCCGCTTCGATACATTGTCTTTAGTTCTTAATTCTTAGAATACTATTTAAGAATGCTCAATAAAAAAATCCAGAAGAGGTACATCGGGTGACCTGGCTCGTCGGAAATACGTTTGGAAAGAGGTCTAAAAGGTTCCGACATTTCTCCGCCTTTGCCAATTTGATAACAGAATAACGCATAAAAAACAAGAGTTCGTGGAACTGCTTATGTCGGCATTTTCAGTATATCGCTTTCAGAGACTTAATTGGTTGAATTGTTTTAAAATGTAACAGGTAAACCTAAATTTGCATAAAATCTGCTTGGCAACAAATTCTGAATTCATTCCATCGTTTTACATTAAGGCAAAGTGTTTAAACTAAGTCATTAAATCATGTATACTCTAAGTGTGGCAGAAAATGTTGAAATGATTTTTATTTATGGAGAAAATGGCAGAAAAGTTGCTGATAGTATAGCTTTGTATCGAGAACGTTTTCCTGATCGAAATACGCCTTCGAGAAGTACCTTTTAGAGTTGTGAATGCTTTCACTAACACTGGAAATGTAAAATCAAGAAAAAGAACTCGGCGAGCAACTGTAACTACGGAAGAAAAAGAAATTGCGATATTAGCTAGCGTTGAGGTAAATCCTCAAGTTAGCACTCGAGGACTTGCAATTGACGCCGGAATATCGAAGACCAGCATTTTAAGAATATTAAAGCGCAACATGTATCACCCATACCCCATTTCATTGCATCAACAGCTTTATGGGGGTGATTTTGAAAATCGATTAATATTTTGTCAATGGGCACAAGAACGAATGGGGTTGGACGTCAATTTCTTTGGTAACATGCTATTCTCGGATGAGTCTACTTTTACAAACAAAGGACAAGTCAATAGACATAACATGCACTGTTGGAGCGTTGAAAATCCGAGATGGTTGCGTGAAGTAGAACATCAACGACCTTGGTCGGTTAATGTTTAGTGTGGCATAATTGATAAATTGATCGGTCCATACTTTATTGATGGTATGCTGAATGGGGAGAAGTACCGACATTTTTTAGATGACGTCTTACCAACGTTACTTGTAGATTTGAGCAGGGAACAAAGACAAATATGTGGCTGCAAAATGATGGGCGTCCAGCACATTTTTCACATGTTGCACGTTTAGCTTTAGATCGGGATTATGTTGCGCGATGGATTGGAAGGGGAGGTCCAATTTCCTGGCCTGCCAGATCACCTGATTTAACACCTCTTGATTTTTTTTGTGGGGCGTCCTTAAGGATAATGTTTATCGCGAAGTACCGACTACGCCAGAAAACATGAAAGAGCGGATAAGAAATTCATGCAGAAATAGTAGCCAAGAAAACCTTTTAAGATGTAAAGAAAGTATTGAAGAGAGAATACTTGAGAGAATTGAGAAAGTATTAAGTATTAAAATAAATGTATTGAAGTGGGTGGGGAAATATTTGAACATTTATTATACATTTTATACTTGTTGTTGATTAATAGTATAGTTTAATCATTTTTTTTATAAATAAACAATATTTAAAACTATTTGAATAAAAAAATTATTTAGATTTTGTCTACAAAAGATGTTTCACCATCGTACTGGTAAAACCACACGGTAATTTTTTTTTTATTAATTATTTAACTTTTATCCATAGATTCAGATTTTGCAATCAAAAACATAGGGTGCAATTTAAAAAATTGGTTGTGACCTTCATATCACCTTGAAAATAAGGTCAAGGTCAAAATTTTTTATCGTCATATGGTTTCCCCTTCGCACAGAACAACTTTCATTTCAGGCCTTATGGGTTTCAAGAAGTGATATTGGAAAGGAAATTCTAGGTTAGGACAGGAAAGCTCGCAGGCAGGATGTATCCCTGAAGTAGATCTACCAGGATAATAGATGTGTACCTGGTGGCTATCAAACCACTCGCTATTTACCTGGTCGCCTGTCCTTCGAAAAATCTAAGAATTGAGTTTAAATAAAAATCGATGTATTTTGGGTCATGACGATATTTCGAACCGTTTTCAAATTAGACTGGAAGGAGAGTTACTTTTGGTGCGAAGTGTATATTTAATCTTAATGTTCCTTTTAGGTGGCAAGCTAGAAAAGAAGGTGATCGAAACATGCGAGCAGGTTTAATACCAAGTAGAGCACTACAAGAAAGAAGAATAAGCTTAGAAAGAACTTTGGATAAGGACAAAGAAAATGGTACTTAAAAACCCTCATGAATTTTTTCAATCCCAACTTAATCCTGGCTTAACAATCAAAATCAAGCTTTATTTAAGCATCATGTTTTAGCACTAACTCCATTGCATGCGCATCTCATAACCAATCTGCACTTTTATGTGGAATGTGTTGAAAGATAAATTAAAAAAAAAATCGATCTATAATTTAATATTTACACATTTTATTTTTAACACTTATCATGTTGTACTAACGCAAGTATCGGTGGCCGTAGGGCTGTGCTCTGTTTCAGCTTTGCCTGTGCTATCCTGCAGCCAGTCCCCGAAATCCCCCCGTTGCATATCCAAACCTAAAACTAAAAAAATTATGTATGACATAGCGGAAAATGATGATTTCGATCGAGAACACATTGCCACCTACGAAGAGGTTGCCAAATTGTATCCAAGGCCAGGCATTTATAGACCAATAGTGTTAATTGGTGCGCCGGGAGTTGGAAGAAATGAATTAAAACGTCGACTGATCGATATTGATCCAATAAAATACAAAACACCAATTCCATGTAGTTATTTTAAAAATACGCTTTAAATTTATTTTACTTTTTGTTTTTATATTTTAGTTACCAGTAGACCAATGAAACCAGGTGAAGTAAATGGAAAAGATTATTTTTTTGTAACTAGAGAACAAATGGAAGCGGAAATCGAAGAAAATAAATTTATAGAATACGGCGAATATAAAGGAAATTTATATGGGACTTCCGCTGATAGTGTTAAAGGTATCGTTGGGCTTGGAAACGTTTGCATATTAAATCCACATTATCAAGCGTTAAAAATGCTTCGAACACCTCAATTAAGACCTTATATTATCTATATAAAACCACCGCCTTTAGATGTTCTCAAACAAACAAGAGAGGCGATGCATGCCAAGTCCACTTTTGATGTTAATAGCGCTAGAGGATTTACGGTATATAATAAAATTGATTAAAAATAAAATAATTATTTAATTTTTTTAGGATGAAGAATTTACTGATATAATCAAATCTTCATCCAGAATCGAATACTTATACGACCATTTTTTCGATGAACAAATCGTAAACGCCGATTTAGCATTAGCTTTTGGACAATTATTAGCCTCAGCAAATCGTTTGGAAACTGAACCACTTTGGGTGCCTGCCTCGTGGGTACAGTAAATTGTTACCCCATTAATGTTAAATATTCCAAAAACCAAAAAAAAAATGAAAAATGTTTATTTTATTAACTATATGTATAGTTGAATTAACAAGAAATTTTTTTATAAGAATCGATCAAAAGGAAAATTCTTTTGATGATTTATATCCCATCAATAGAATCCAAAATCAGTTAATATTCGTTAATAGCTAGATGTTTTAGGATTTATGTATAATAACGAAAAGGTTAGAATAAACTAAACTATAATTTTAATTTATATAAAAACCAAAGAAAATATATACGAAACCTAATAATGGATAGGAAAAATGGAAATTAGAAAGATGAAGTGAAATTACCTTTTTTTATAACAAAAAAAACACTTCCTTGTATACAATTAAAAAATTTGGGATTGAATGGATTAAAACTAAGGATAATCAGCAGTAGGTAATAGAGAAGAACAATATTTGTTGAACTATCTGGACAAAATTAAACGTTATAGGAGGTAAGACAAACCAATTGCCTTTTTTTGTTAAATTTATATTCACACTGACCATACTAGGTCCAACAGTTACTTAGATAATGCCACTAACGATTTGTTATCAACTTTATCTACAGGCAATCGATTAGTTATTGATGAAACGAGGTTTTAATCAGAATATTTCTTTATTTTTAATCGCTTTTAACTCATTTTAACTGACTACCATAACAATATAAATTCGTAACATTAAATTGATTCGATGTGTCCATCTTAAAAGTGTTGTTGAAATTTGTAATGCACTGTATTGCCCAGTACAAATTTTCGTAATCCATTGCCCGAATTTAACTTTAACTGAAATCATATAAAGAAATAACGTGACAAACAAGAATTATTTATTTAAATGAGGTAAATTCAAAATCTTTTTGTTTTTTTAAGTTTTTTTTTTATTTTCTTAATCATAAAAGAGAGTAGGTTAAATTGGTTTGTGAGATTTTCTTTCTTTATTGTTAGTGACTGATACGAATGATGAAAAATATCGAACAGCTAATCTTAATGGTGTTGGAACATTTCTTTTTATTTTTCAATGAGGAATTTTACTACTTGAATTCCACTTCTCGCCAATTTTTTTGTAAAACCACAAAAACATTATACTATATTGCGAAACCTAAGATAACTTAACAAGAGGACGAAGTAATATTTCTTGCCCCTTTTTCTGGATACAACGTATGAGGATAAGTGTTGATCAATGCTATTAACTCTGCGTGTGGTGTGATTATTAATACCATTTTTGGTTTCTTTGTTTTTTACGCATTTTTACGTCCACCAATCAAATTTCCATCTTATAACATTTATTCTCATCTAAAACCCCACTGTATCTCTCATTTTCAATTTTTTATTTTTCAATTCAGATTGTACTTATTTTTGCGGCACTCGTAATGTTTCATAATAATAAACATCATAAGATATTGGAATATCTCGAATCTGATTCTTTTTCAGTGAAATGTATTGAAAAATGTGTTCTTTGATGTAATTACATTGTCAAATTTTCTATTCTAATCTTCATCGTTTATTAAGATTTGCTGGGAGGTGTATAAGAATGAATTGTTTGTCCAATAATGACGGTAATCATGTTTCATTTCTAGTATAAGAATAATACAATCAAAAATAGTTTGATTTCAATTGGATTTGTGTCTTACCCAGACGACTTTTTTTATATAGGATGTTTCACTTAAAACTCCCAGGCCAAGTATCCCTGGAATGGGTTGTGATATTTTAGTTTTTGTAAAAAGTTGTTAGAGTACGTAAATAACTCTCGTTTTTAAGTATTATTATTATTCATTGTATAAAACTAAAGGTTGCACTGCAATCAAAACAAACTTTTCCTCCATCATAAAGTTTTGGTTAGCTGCATGTGATAGAAACATCAAAAACTGTGCAACTTTCATTAGTAACATTGATTTCAATTATTAGTATGAACCAACAAGGTAGTCACAACAATAGTTTCTAACATAAATAACAAAACATTAACAAAACAAATTAATAAAGTAAAAAACATAATTACCTTTTAGCTTACTAAATAAGTTTTTCATCATTAATACGTAATAGTTGAAAATTCATTTCATTTTTATGCACGCACAATTCGAATCATCTGATCAATTCAATATAATTACCATTTGTACCAACCTATTTTCCTGGAAACCTACAGTCCAGGTACTGAGTCACTCTCTGTGCGTTATGTGGAAGTGCGTCATGTTCTTGAAACCACATCGTTCTTTTTAATAAATTAAAATCATATTTAATTTATCTTAATTAGTGAAAAGAACCATTTTAAGTTAAAGTGTTTGCCGTTTATTTTGACATACTCAAAATTATTCCATAAAACATAAATTCATAATAAAGTTTCTATCAGGACTACTAAGTTTTTCAAATTAATATTGATAAGGAAAGTTGTACAGTTTTCGATGTTCTATGCATCTAATAAGTTTAAGTCTAATAAGTTCGTGTTGAAGGAAAAGTTCCTTTTGACTACTGCGCCACCTTCATTTTTGTACAATGAATAATACGTAACAACTGAAGTCATTTAGGTACTCAACTTCTTACAAAACTTAAATATCTCAACCCATACTAGAGATACTTGGTTGCGAGTTTTAAGTGAAATACCCGGTACATGCTGATTTTATTCAAATCAAGATATTGGGATTAATAGTTAAATAGTTCATTTTAAAGAAGTTTAATCTGAATTTAAAACTGGATTTTGTATCGAAAATATTAAATCTCCCGTTTTCGCCTTAAATTTTAACTCTCTAACTATATTTAATCTTATTTCGTTGGAAACTATTTTGATATATCTCTGGTATCTTTTTGAAACTCTATTTTCATATTTGTACATAATAGTTATCTAACTACCAATCGCTGTTCTTATACTGTTGAATGCGTTACTCTACATTAAATACAGTGTTATATCACATTTTCTGCCTCTTTGAATATATTAACTCAAAAACATGTAACAAATAATTAATAACATCAAACTTACCATTAAATAACTAACTTATTATTGACAGTGGAGTTTTTTTCATAATATTCTTGAGGTATCTTTCTAAAAATTAGTACACATCCCAATCGTATTATTTGTTATTAGTAGAGTGAGATTAACTGTAGACACGCTGACAAACATAATACTCTTATAATTGTAAAACTGTTAGTTTTATGGTATTTGAATCAGCATATTTAGTAGTAGGTATTATACAATCAAAACATATTTTTTTAATTTGGAAAATTTTTGACAAGTTGGTCTCAATAAAATCATTCTATTCAATTATTGAACGTGGTAATAACTCACAAAATTCAGAGAAGTCTCAAAGTTGTTCCAAAAACTTAAAATATTGTTGATCTATTGAATTAATAAAAACCTCTATATTTCTTCGGCCTAGCTTAGAAACGAAATTGCAAAAATTAATTTTACTAATTTTTAACGAGTTGATCAACAATATCAGCTTTATAAAATAATTATATCTACACATAAATTTACGAAACTTCTTCATTTAGCATATTAGAAGTTATTAAGAACTATTTAGGTTAACACTTTATTTCAAACTTATTACAATAACATTGTTTAAATATGATATTGAAAAGACTGGCGCAAGACTTTTTTAAGATAAGAAAACATTATCGTTATGCTAACGATTTAAAACCTCTGGTTGTTATAGAAAATAATTGATTTTGGATTCTGTATAGTGCATCATATGAGGTTATTTCGAATTAAATAGTGTATAAATGATTTTACACATAAAGATAAGTCGACACAATTCTTATGTAAACTTTGATAGCTATGAATACAAAAGGGTTATATCTTCAAACCACATTTTCCTTAATAACAGACCGATAAAAATTGGTAAATCTCAAAAGTTACAGTACAGACTATTTTTTTTTAACATATTAGACGTGTTCAATTCGAATTTGAACTAAGAATTGCTCCATCACAAAAAGTTTTACAGATATCCTAACGTAATGGTGTAAAGGAGTTGTTCTCAAATTTAGTAATTTATTGATTAATAAATTTATGTTTATTATTTCAAAACATTATTATGTAATAATTTCATTAATTTCTCTTACCATTTTTTATTATTTTCTGAAGGAACAACGATTCAATCAAGAATTTTATTCTGAATTTATTATTTTATGTCAGGTCCTAATAGGCGATACATATCTAGAGTGGTCCCCATCAGCTCTATAAGGTTTAAAGACGATATTTAAAAATCTGTTCCTTGAAGTGCGTCAAGACAATCTTACAGGAGTTCTAATCAGGCAGGCGATATCATCAGCTTCTCTAGTATTAAATTGCATTACTTTGGGAAGCAAAACTTTTTTTAACATGTCTCTTTAAAAAAATGAGGAGTCGAGATCTCTACAAAGAAAAAAACACATTAAACAATGACTTCTTGGCTGTGAAAAGATCGTTTGTGAACTTTTGTGGATTACAACAAATTTCCGTTGGGATTCTTATACAATCTGCTGATTTTAATTCTTAAAGCAATTCTTAATCAATCAATAAGGCAACATTGTAAGCGTTGAACGAAATCTCTTTCATGAAGTTTCAGAACACTACACATTTTTCTGAACGTTACAATTAGTTCCGTGCAATACCAGATTGGGTTTTTGCCGCTATAGTTGTTTTTAATTTTTGATTTCATCCGTAAATTACTACTATTTTTGGAGCTTCTCTAACTTATCCAGTTTGGTTTTACTGATGCAGACGTAAATTGATTATTTCATCAGCATTCCTAATCAATTTTAAAAGAGCTAGTACATCATGCATTTAGTAGCTGTTGAGTACGGTGTAGTAGCTGATTTTGTTGTGTTAATTGGAGCTTTCTTTGACCCCCAGCATGGCTTTACACGTTTATTTTGGAGTTTCTTTATGCCAAAATAAAAATTACAAAATCAAAAAAGTTGAATTTTGACTTTTATACAAAAAAATCATTCTTTACAAAGCAAAATCGGCTAGAGCGATTTTTTTAAATAATAATTTTGTATAAGGAAACTTTAAAATTGTTTGCGTTAAAATTATGTTTGTTGTTGAATCGCCGCAATAGTTTTTGAGCTAATCATTTGGGGGGTACTAGCTTCGAATTTACAGCAGAACTACATCTTTGATGCGCTACTGTTCTAAAGATCTGAAACGATTTCAAATAATAAGAAAATAGTTATCGACATACATTACTTGACATTTTCAGTGTTAACAGTGAGCATTTAGAAGAAGTTCGAAAACGTCCTCATTAACAAATGTAATAGTCTCAGGACGAGCTGGTGTGGATTCTGAGGAAAGGAATATTTTGCTACTATAAAATCCGTAGGGAGTTGGGTATACCATATTTTTTCACAAGAACGAGTTTCTTCAGAGCTTTACTCATTTTTCATATTATTCTTATTTTCTATGTCCTTTTTCATTCACATATAAAATCTCTTCTGGGACAACTCCCTCTTTTCTTTATTTCCTGGAAGGTCTACCGCTTCTTTGGTCACCTTTAGCATTTCATGAAAAAGCTCATTACACTTTTTACAACTTAATACAACCATCTCCGTAAACGGAGGTTTGGCAAAACCTTCCTTAACAACTTCTCCTCATCTTCGCCCTTCCACTGCTTCTACTTTTCTTTCACATGCTCTGTTTCTTCTAGGCAATGTTCCACTTCTTCAGCTTCTTTGCTCAGTTTTCTGGCAGTAAAATTATTCCACATTAGCGTGCTGTCATTTTTTTTTGTTTTGTGCTCTTATTATCTCTTCTTCCAGCGTTGTCAACAGATTGTAGCATTTGTTTTTATTGTCAGCTTCAACCAGTTCAAAAATGAATATTATTTCATGGTTTCTATAACATATTGAAATTATTTACACAAAAATAACGCGGGAACTAACAAAATCTTCATCTACAAAGATATCTTGTGGAAGTCTTCGTTTTAGGCGGTTAGTATCTGTATTATCTAGTATCTAATATTTCCTAGTTAATGTTCTTGAACACTTGGACACTTTTGGCACTTTTTGAGGTTGTGTTAGTGTTTTCAATGTATCTGCGAGTTCTTCACAAACCATGGGGCATCTACGCATATTCTTAGTATTTTATTTGTTGAGCTCGAAACTGGGCATGCATATACAGGTCTTTTTAACGATTTATAAAGTATCATAGCCCATTCGATCTTCAGTTTCGATTTTCTTAATAATAGGATAAAATTCTTTCAGCCTTGCATATGCTTTGTTTAATTTGTTATTAATATGATACTTCCACGTAAGTCTTTGATCCAAATTTCTTGTTCCTTATTTTTCGATTGATATTGTTGTAAGATTTTTAACTTGTCTAAGAGTAGGTAAATATTATGACCTTACATTTATTTGGATTTAAGTTAACGCACCAAGTGGATAACCATTTATGAATCTTATTTATAGAATTTTGGAGGTCTTGAATGGATTTTTTAAGATTTTCATTTCCGGGCATTATTATTTATTGTAATGTCCTGCTGCTAATATTTCGTTATGGCATATATTCTCATTTTCGCCGTGAAGGTGTTCTGATTCTTGTCAGATTCTTCACATAATTTTTAATTTGAAACGCTCGCTTCATGCTGTGTAACCACATAACATAGAAGCCATTCGGATATTAATGATCTTTTACTCTTACTAAATACATGTTCCGAATCTTTTGTACCGACTATGTGTCCATATCCTTGCTCATTCATTTTCTTTTACTTTCTTTTTTACGTTTCTAATTTTATTAAATAGCACCTTGGTCCAAACAACCATTATTACGGTTTTAACTGACAAATAAGTTTTTGGGGTGGAGAATTGGACAACGTTGACTACTTTGTAAATTAATTGCATTTATCTTAACCAATTTAGATCTAAATTATTAAGAAATATGTGGTTTCAAGTTATCCCCAATCACCTTAATTTATAAATTATTGCTGATGTTACTTAATTGGAATACCTTAGATACGCTTAATTAAGATATTGTTGATAATTTTTTTTAATTATAAGTTTTCCTTTTAATTTTTCAATAATTTAACTGAAAACGTAGAAATTATGTAACGCATATTTATTATTATTTTTGAATAAGCACTGTTATATCTCAAAATTCACCAAAGATATTTATAAAACCAATGAGAAGTATGGCAATTGCCTAAAAAGAAAATGATTTATTATAATTATTATAAAAAGAAAAGAAATAGGCAATAGCTGATTGTTGATTTCCGTTATAAAACGATAAAATCGTAATTAATAAGTAATGTAATATTTAGAGTTGATTTATAATATAGATATTACAAAATATAAAATCGAAAAATGTAAATCTAAAAAATGAATATTGTTACTTTTAGCAAAACGAAAGAGATCCTGTTAGAAATAACCACTGCCATTTAATAAATACCTAACAAGAATGTTGCGCGATAATTCTAAAAGTACATAAAAAAATCGGTGTTTACTGCTAACTAAGTAATCGATGTTGTTTTTTTGTCTTTTTCCAAGAAAGCGAACCATTTACTACACCCCGTTTTACTTAAAACTTATATAGGATTTATATAAATGTTTATTACAGAACATATATCACATTATAAAATTGTACCTACATTATAAAATAGCAAAGCAAAAATAAATGAATCGTATAACATGCCTTATTTTAGAAGTTTAAGGAATTGAACTTGTCGATATATGTTCTGTACAACTTCACGAATTCCAAGGATAAAAATAAAATAGATAAATAGTTTTAATCATTCTCAAATCACCTATTAAACGATGATAGCAAATACAATTCTGATTACATTTGTGTATAAAAGTGATGTTCCATACGTAGACACACTCACACGGTGACTGAAAACTATATAGTAAACGAAATATTTATTGCATTTGCACTGACGGACAATAAAAAGAAAAAATGTTAAACGCAAAACGTACGGTTGATAGTTGGACATTTTCAGACACCGAAGTATTAAATATTATTGTATCTCATAGCCTGGGATTATTTACTGCTTTTATACTACACGCGCATAAAAGTTACACATAGAAATATATACTAATACGTATTATAATACAACAAATTAGCGTGGCTTAAAAATCTAAGTACAAAATGAGAGTACAGAAAAATATCAAAAAATTAAAAAAATTTAAACGGAATGTTGCGGTGCCAATCTTAAATTGTTTCAGTATTTAAGCAGTAAATATGTATATTTTTTGTGTTTAATTTTATTTTTTAATTCTTTATACAAACGGTTGAGTTATTAAAATAAAGATTCAAAGTCTCATTTAGTAGTGTTATTTATTTTTTAATTACAAAAAAATTCAATATAACGTAATATAGCATATATTTGTTTGTAAAGTTGTTTAACATTTTATTTTCAATAATAAGACGGCATTCAATTGTGTTTTTCAGAAAACAAATGAGTAACGAATAACACTTGAATTTTTTTAAATAGCAATGTACCCTTTCCTTAGGCTCATTTGATAGAGATTTTTGTTCTCTTTTCGATGACGTAAAATCAAAAAAGCATCATGGACGTCTCAAAGTTGACTGTCGATTTGGGATTCCCAGCGAGTATCGCTTAATTTTTTAAGGGTGGAGATTTTCATAGAGGACAGAGGAATTAAAAGAGTAAATAACTATGCATTACTAAATTCAAGAATTCTGGAATTGGGAATTGACCTAAACGGAAAGGTGAATATAATTCAAATCTACGTAGCAACGACATTTTTACTGAACCTGCAGAAAACCTTCGATAAATACAGAGAACAAGGGGAGGAAGTAATTATAATGGAAGACTGGAATGCGAGAATAGGTAATGATATACACATAAAGGGGGAGGGAGTATAGGAGAATATGGGGATCTGGGAGAGGCAGTGATGAATAGAAATGATCAAAGAATGCTGGAATTTTGTTAGAAAAACGATTTATTGATTGAAAACACGATGTGGTGTCAAAGGAGGCAAGATAAATATACGTTTGTGGCGGAAGAAAGAAAAGCTAAGAGTATTATTGATTACATCACATACACCCAGAATCTCCAAAACAGAGTCGAAGAGGGAAAAACTGAAACAGAAGCAGAAATGGGAACCAACCACGGACGAGTCATGGCAGCTATTAATAACATAGAAATCGAAAGAGAACAAATGACAACCTACACGATAATAAACATCTATATACTAAGGCAAGAGGAAGAAAGAATAAAATACCAAGAGAAAACAAACAAAAAATTACAAAAAACAGAGAATTTAACACTGGAGGAAAGGTGGAGAATTTTTAAAGAGATAATGCGAAATAAAGCAATGAAGGTGTGTGGAATGAGAAAATATAATAATTAGACAAAGAAAACACTGGTGGCATGAAGAGGTCCGACAGGCAATCAAGATGAAATCATGAGATAAAATCATGGAAAGAATACATAAAAACGAATTCGGAAGAGGATAGAGCAAACTACAGAACGAATAGAGATGTAACTAAGAATATGGTAAGGGAGATGAAAAACAAAAGTTATACGGATCGAATAACAGGAAATTCTGGAATCAAATAAGAAATCTGAAGGGAGATCAAGGGAAACAAAAGTCGTCAAAGATAAAAACAACAAGATAAAGACAACTACAAGGGAAATTCTGGACATATGGGCGGATTTTTATGCAGAGAAGTTCAAGGACGGAAAACGAACTCACACAATGAAAGAGGAAAGAGGAAGACACTGCAGACATAGCAACTGAAGAGATAACAATAGAAATTGGAAGAGACAATGATGAAGATGAAAACAGACAAGACTTCCAGCAAAGACAAGATAAATCCGGAGATAATAAAACATTTGGGAATAAAAGGGAAGAAGTGGGTTTTAAGTCTAAAAAACCGCATGAGAGTCGAAAACAATCTCGAAAGATTGGGAAGATAATATCATCTTACCAATACATAAAAAAGGAAGCTACTCGAACTGTGAAAATTATAGAGCCATATGTCTATCATCTACAGGTTACAAATTATACACTAAGATAATAAAAAAAAGGCTAAGAAGAGTAGTGGAAAATAAACTGGAAGATGAACAAGCAGCATACAGAGCAAGCAAACAAACGAATGATAACATACATGTATTTCGAAATATCATTGAAAGGAAAACAGAGACGGGCAATGAACTGTACCTAATATACTTGGACCTAAAAGCAGCTTTTGACGCCGTAGTATTATATGGAAGAGTCTAGAACAATTAATGGTACCACAAAAACTAACAAAAATTATAGAAAACCTGTAGTAAGTAAGGGAGAAACATCAAAAACTTTTGAAATGAGCAAGGGAATAAAACTAGGCGATGGCCTAAGTCCCTTATTATTTATAATATTAATGGATAGAGTGATAAAAAATATAAATACAAACAGTAATATGTTATAAAAGTTTGGAACCAGTAAAAATAGATAATTTACTCTATGGTGACGATATAGTGCTGATAGCAGAAAACCATTAAAAGGCAATGAAGTTGGTTGAAATATGGACAGAACTATTTGAAAAGATGGGGCTAGAATTGAACGTAAATAAATGTAAAATCGTGGCAATAAATGAAAGGGAAATAAGAAATAACCCGAAAGGAATATACATGTATTAAAGAACAAAAGATAGAAGAAGTATCATCATATGAGTACTTGGGAAGTATAATATCACAAGATGGAACCATAGATTTAGAGATAAATGCATGCATAAAGAAAACAAACAACGTATATATACTCTAAACAGAACAATTTTTGGGAAGAAGGAGATAGATAAAGGGATAAAATTGAAAGTGTACAACTCGATGGCAGTCACAATATTAACATATGCAGTGAATCATGGACATTCCAAGATAAACAAGAATTAAAGATCACAGAAATTTTTACGGAAAATAGTGGGGAAGACGAAGTGGGATAGGATAAGGAATGAGGAAATAAGACTGGGAGTACATCAAGAGAAGATAATCAGCAAAATAGAGGGAAAGCAACTAAACTGGTACGCCCACATAATTAGAATGGAGCGTAACAAAACAGTAAATAAGGTACTTGCAGCAAAGAATAAGGATAAGAGAAAGAGCGGAAGATCTAGGAAGAAGTGGGAGGAAAGAATAGCAGAAGTTGGGAAGAATATAGCAGATATAAGGGAATTAGCCAGGAACCGTAGGGAGTGGAAGAGGTGGATGGAGGAATAGCAAAAAGATTTATCTGATGCCATCAAGCAAAAGTATTAAGGCCCACTTTTACCACCTCTAGATAAATTTAACCGATAGATAATTACCATGGTTACAGCGGTTTTAAGCGCTCTCATTGGCTAAGGCCCACTTTTACCACCTCTTGATAAATTTAACCGATAGATAATTACCATGGTTACAGCGGTTTTAAGCGCTCGCATTGGCTAAGAGCACCAATTTACCTATCGGTTAAATTTATCAAGAGGTGGTAAAAGTGGGCCTAAGAGAAGAAGAAGAAGATTTTCAGATGCTCTTTGTCATTGTGGTGTTGAAGAAGTGTTTGATGAATAAGAATTTCTGCACCATAAACTTGTAAGGCTAAGTCCTTATAGTTCAATGCTAAACCCAATTGAACACGCATGGTCAATTTTCAAAGCAGGTGTAAAGGCGCTAAACAACTATTTTGGGGGGAAATGACAGAGAAAATTTGTCTCAAACAGAGTACAGAATTCGAAAGTTACAAAATATAACGAGGCAAAATATTCCAAAACTTAATTAAACTAACTGTAACGGATTTATAGCCAGAATTCATAAGCACATCACCTCTATTTTCAACATGGAGGATGTCACCTTTTGAGTTAACAATATTGTTTATTACCAAGTATAAAATAAGAGCTTTGTTCGTTGAGACTGCACCAGACTGCACTACTCTGCACGACATGGCACTCGTATGACGTCATAGTGCAATGAAGTGTAAGTAAGTGCAATGTCATGTCAACTTAGTGCAGGTCAGAAAAGTGTATAAACCGTGGTCGCAACGAACAAATTTTTATAAAAAAAAGTGTATAATATTTGAAATGGACGAACAGGAGATTGTCAGCAAAATACTCGTGGAAATTGAAAGCATCGCAGAATGCTTTTTTAATAGCGATTCATCAATTATTATATTATTATTATTATTTTTTATTTTTTTCAATTAATAGCGAAATATATTTTCTACACCAAACTACTAACCCTAGCTTTGTTCGTTGGGACTGCACTACTTGCACTAAACAGTAGTTTGGCGTAGAAAATATATATAATTTCGCTATAAAAACTCAACAACCATCTTTGATAAAATAATACTTCTTGGTAAAAATAAATCTTGTATTCTTCTTCCATGTATATTGCACCCATGCTCACATAAAACAAAATAAATACATTTAAACGAATACATTTATCCATAATCAAACATTTAAAATCATGAATTTGACAAAATTGATAAGAATTAAAGAAGTCCACATTAGAATTTTTGAATGTGCTCCCAATTGGGCTTAAGTGA